AATTTTCAATGGTGTTTTGTTGTCATTTTAAATATAAAAAAAGACTACTACAGCTTGGTAACTAAGTTAGATGTAGGAAAAAATTCCTTTATTGTAATTTTTAAAATCACCTTTTTATTCTTTAAGAAAAAAACGTATTTTTAATAGTTGAATTCATGAGTCAATTGAAGCGAGACCACTATGGAAAACCTAGAAACATTGGATGGCTGTTTCGTCCTATTGAGGGACTCCTCAGCAATAACAATTTACGACCCCGCCTCTCTAGATTCGAACCCAGTACCTATCCGTCTCACGTGCGAACTCTTAACCTCTAGATCAATGAGTCGGCATCCAATGATGTTAATATCTAACTTCAACTAATCCACGAAATTGCGCTACCGTCCGTCATTGTCTTCAGTGAATTACTATCTCCAGGTTTTCCATAGTGGTCTAGATTCAGTTGACTCATGAATTCAACTATTAAAAACATTTTTGTCAATTACAATATTTATTTTATAAACATTATAGTTGCTCGTCATTTTCGCGACATTGAATATGATATTAATATCTTGAAATTCATCCGTAAATAATCAATCATCAAAGAACTTCGAATACAAAGATTTAAACTGAATTCATGTATTCAATGGATATAATTGTCTTGGTGACCGAGTTTTCATTAGACTGTTACGTGAGATTTTTTTGATGCCCTTAATTATAATTTCTAGTACCATATTTCTTACTTCTGAGAGATATTCAACTAATCTATATATGTTTTTTTAAAATAAGTATTATAGATTTTTGGTTTCCATGCCCTTCTGAGTTTTCTCTTATATATTTAACCTCTGAATATGCAAACATTTAAATAATTCATTCACACCTATTGTTTCTTATTATTCTATACTTCGACATCTCAAACAACATTCTATTCAGTACCTCTTTGATGAAATGTATGTAAAATCAGTCCGCATTTTTTATGATTAGCACTATTATTTCTAGATTGTATACAGTTGAGGCGAATCTATGAAATCAATGAATTCATATTATTCAACTAAGATCTTTGTTCTTTCATTATTTAAAGTTGTATTTTTTTTCTTTTCGAAAAACCAATGGTTTTTACACTACTATCATTCACCGTGGTAACATATAGACTCACATCGTAGGTAGAAAGAAAAGTCAAATCACTGAAAGTGTGAAAAAAAAAATCATTTTATTCATATAAACACATTTATTTATTTAGTTACGGTTAAGTCATTTGTTTACTTGACAACTTGCTTATTGATTTTCTCCATTACGGTAGTTATTTGTCATCGATTGAAATGATATCTCATATTAATTATCTTTTTTTTTTAAAAAAACAACACTGTAATCCCTCCCACCGAATAGGTCAACACTCGATCAACCATATCACCCTTCTATAAAAAAAGAAAAAATAATAATAATTGTAAAATATCCTGTGAAAACGTGCTTCTAAAACTTAATTTAGTTGCTAATATCCATTTTGAATGTCTGTTAATCAATACAGTACAGTGAAACATAACTTGACCTGTAAACAAATTGTCGTTGGTGTTGACATATATGTATATAATAATAAAACAGTATGATCATTTTAATAAATGGGAAATAGATAAAAAAAGTATCTACCCATATATACAAACAAACATACATACGTACACACACATACATACACACACATACATACATACATACGTACAAACGTACATACACCGAATACATTTTATGTAATTATCAATATTCGATTCACACTTTATAATACTAAGCACAATAGTTTATTGACGAATTAATGATTATCATTAATTATATTACCATGGTATCTATGATTTGTTAGTAGTTTTTATTACTATTCAAATGATTATCACCTTGTCTTTTGATGAGAATTTTACAAATTAGATCTAATGACAATATCACGGTAATAATGATGGGAATAATGATAGTAGTGAAGTATATTTGTATTTTTATAAGATCCTATTCGAATTGAACAGTAACTGAGACAAAATAAAATTGTATGTGGTTAAATAATTAGTTGTGTTTTTTTCTTCTCTCGATTTATTCGCACTACTTCTATTATTGTTAAATTAACTTTTCATATTTTTTTTCTTGTGGTACAATTTCTACTTACCAAAAAAAACCCCATTGTACAAGAACAATGAATTAGATTTATGCGTTTAAAGTGTGCGTTCAATGTTCAATACAGTCTGTCTTTTCGGAGGGGGGGATTGAAATGAAAGTTCTGTGGCAAACAAATGCATAATAACTTACAAATAATAATAATTATTATTAATATTAGTAGTATTTTACAACTTTAAAATTTTAATGTTTATTCCAGCGATAGTAATAAGAAGACACAAATGAAAATTGAACATTTTTGGTTGTTAACCATAACTAGTCATTTTTAATGAAGTATATACCTTCTTTTTTGGTTATAATAAAACTATTTTATCATATAAGGGATATTAATCCATATGATTAGAACGCTTTATTTCACTTCCTGTCTCTTGTTTTAACCCTTTTCTATTAGATCAATATAGTTTTAGAGGGTAGATAGTTATAAATTTTCACTAAGGTGCTGAACTATCTAGAATTGGAAAGCATTGAAGAATGATTTCATTTTATTTTTGTTGAGAAGCCATAATATCAATCAAATTAAAGTGTTAATTAATCACTGATCAATGACAATGAAAAAGGATCATATTATCTAACGAAATAGACCAGAAATTTAAGCGGTTGTCTATTGAATTATGAATTTGTAGGGCCAGCGAAATGTCACTAAGCCCTAGCCAAATCATCTGGCAGTTGGGTCATTGAATATCGAGCAAATCATCGATCCTCGTCAAGGTAAAGGACGACCAACGCGCATCAGTTAATCGTATGCCATGGACTGGGCCATGCGGCAGTGGTCTTACTTTCGCTTGTATCTACTTTAACTACTATATTTCTGTAATAACGTCCTATGTGTTGTACAGTCTTCAATGCATCTATAGTACCTTGGTACGTCAATGGGGTAGTCCACGTAAGGTGCTGACCACGAGGTGTGACTTCGACGTTAGCTAGTTTGTCACACCATTCACGTCCAACTCAAGTAGGCCTCCAATCATTTCGACATAGATCATCTACGTTGGCGATCTACAAAGTAATGGCATACAGATATTATTATTTTCAGCGATAAAATTACACAAAACTTTGTGTTTAAAATTTTGATCTATTCCCTTAGATATTGGGATCCTTATTCATTGTCATTGATCGTTCATTAATTAACACTTTGATTTCATTGACATTATGGCTTCTCAATAAAAATGAATAGAAATAGTTCTCCAATGTTTTCAAGTTCTTGATGGTTCAACAAAATCATTATAACTGAATAATTGGATATAGAAAATGTTATCCACAGGACCTGGATTGATTATTGTAATCTGACAGTCTATTTAACTCTCTTGATCATAAACTATGACCAAGTATATTGATATTCTAAAGAAATTTCTTTGTTCATATTGTCTTATAACAACAAAATTCCAGAAGCAAACCTTCAAAGGCTTCTAATAGTGAAAAATCCTTAGAGAAATATAACAATAGTTGATATACTTTCTACACTATTTGTTCTTTGTAGAAATTAAAAGCATTTAGTCTAAGACTGATGGATAAATAATTAAAACATGGAGTGGACTAGCTGTTAAATTGCATCATAATTACAAGGTATTAATTTAATTACTGTTCATCGTACTTGTCTACAAGTTAAGGCAAAAAATTTCCACGGTACTTCACATTTTTCAACAACTTAAAGGACCATTTTGAAAATTCAGAATTAAGGCATATTTAAGTGAACAATCGTTTTTAAAAGTTACATTTTTCATCCCTATAGTAATAAATTCATAATTAATGCACTAAAATTCACTAAAGACTACCATAAGTGTACGAGGTTCTTGTGAACTGTTCTCTCTCTCTCTCTCTCTATTCGCTCATCATGAGACCTGAAAGTCTTTACTTTGGCATTTGGCTTGGTTTTAAAACAAAACTGTTAAGAAACCCAGCAATAAAATGAAACACTTACTCACTACTTTATGATATAAATTCTATCTGTGATGAGAACTACAAAACATTTTCCAGTGACGTTGTGCCAATCGAACCGATCCAAATTAGATATCTATCGAAAACCTAGGAGCAAGGGAAGGGGCGATTCATTTTAGCATAGAACTTCTCAACAGTGCTCATCCACGACCCCACAAGTGGAAATTGAACTCAAGACATTTATTATCAAATGTGAACACTTAATCTTTAGACCACCGAATCGACATCCAACAGTGTTAATCCCTAACTTCAATCAATCAGTACATGATCATCTTCCATTGCTTTTGGTGGGTAACAAAATGTTTTAAAATACTTCCAACTGGAAAAAGTTTTTTAACATGTATGAGCTATTTGATAGGGTAATAGTCAGAAATATGATTTGATATGTTCGTTTCATTTTGCCAGTGAATAGTTAATCAAATGTATATTCACCCTTAACAATATATATGTCAGGTATTTGGAGGTAACCATTATGAATTTTTACCTAATATGTTCAACATGACTTATCTACAGCGTTCAAGAGATTATCACTGCTTCATCAAATAATTGAATGATGGGTACTGGCTAGCAGCGAAATCCAGGATGCGCGTTTCGTCCTATTTGGAATTCATCAGCTGACGTACCTACATCTCAGAGTTGATGTCCACTCCAGGACTCGAACCCATTACCGTTCAATTCAAACACCATCACATGATCCACTTAGTACTACAATGGCTACAGCTGATTATTCAATTTTCATATAAACAATTCATTACTATAAAAATAGTAATGATATTTATGACAGATATTTGGTTCAATTTAACTACTATTACAACATCCATTATCTTCATAATCATAAACGTGAATTATTGATATAATTTGAGTTTAAGGTTTTGTGACATATTACCCTTCAATATAAGTCACTAATAAACACGTAATTGTTAAAAATGATATTATAATATTTAAGTATGATATTTACGAGTATGAATTCGGGGTTTGGTCGAACTATCAGGGGACGGCTTTTTCAATGATTCACTTGAGCTATTATTACCATTATTATTATTATTATTATTATTATTATTATTATTATTATTATTACCATTATTATTATTAATATTATTATTATTATTATTATTATTAGTAGTAGTAGTAGTAGTAGTAGTAGTATTCCTAATCTAAACACATACATAAGTCTTCAATAGAGAAGATTAATTAATTTCCGTATCATTTTTTTGTGTTAAGAATATTTCAATGAATTTCAACTTTTGTTTATATTTTTCATTTATAATAACCAAAAGAAAAATGATTGATTGATTGAATGAATACCCATCTGTTTGTTGGGTATTTGTACTTTCATACACGCATAACGTGTAACTATGCTTTCTTTGTAAGAGAAGGTAATGCGCGCGCGTGTGTGTGTGTATGTGTAAATGTATATACTCATATATGTAACATAGGAACAAACTATTACAAATCGCATATGGTTATAACATAGAATGTATCATCATATCCAACTACATTAGACATTTATTCATTAAAATATGTTTCACTATGATTATGTAATAATAATAATAATATTTACTTACATGTAACATGCTCTTTTTATAATTATGATTTTTAATTACATGAAATAAATTATCCTAATCAACATATGTATAAAGTAAGATCGTAAAACATGCATCTTTCATAATTAACACTATCATTATGATTATTATTCCCCTAAGCATACCCAATTACATGTTATAAACGTGTTTCTGATTGAATTATTTGCATTTGCATTATTTAATAATCCCAAATGATTTTAATATGTAATTTGTACATTTATAAATTATATATTTGTAGTTACAATATAATGGCCTATGCTCCATTAGGAGTAACCGGCGAAAGTAAAAAGTAAGTAGGTAAGTAAGTTACAGTATAACTATATTTCTGTTTATTTTATATATCCTGATTACAATTTAAATTATTTCATTGATAAATATAAACAAAATGTTTAGTTTTAATTGAGAGGCATTTTTATGGAGAGAATTGTTTGTATTTGTTGTTGATTCTTATCAGTATAGGGTTGTGGAGATTGTTGAGTTTAGATTGATACCATGATTGGATCAATGTTAGATGAACATTGAAAACCTGGAAGGATTGGACAGCCATTTCGTTCTAGTATGGGACTCTTCAACAGTGTACATCCACAATCCTGCACCAAAGGGACTCGAAAAAAGGACCTTCGGTCTCGCAAGCGAATGCTTAACCTCTAGACCACTCAGCCGATATCTAACGGTTTTAATGTCGGGTGTCAAGCAATCCACAGTAATGCGCGGTCTTCCACGATTGTGTTTAGTGAGTAACTGCCTCACAACAGACACGGTTGAAGTGCACTGGTCACGGCTTCTCATTAGACTTATAGGAAATCCATCTTGAAGCTAGTCATTGGTGAGCACATGATTAATTTTTATGTAGATTTTTATCTAGAACTATACATCCGTCGAAGTATTAATAAAATTCAGGGGATGTTCGAGAGTTGTCTCACTAAGTATGAAATTCCATAGCAATCTGTACTTACAATCCAGATAGAAAATGAATTCAATTATTTCATGTCTTAAAATAAAGGCCTAACCTTCAAACTGCTTTATTGAAATCAATTGATTCACATTTCTAACTTCATTCAATAACTCGGCGATCAATCAATGAATCCAACACATAATACCCCTTTCACTATCATGGCTAAACTCTATCGATTATAACTTCTCACTGAAGCTTTAAGATATCATAGATTTTCGAATGCGATAATACCATATTAATCATTTTTGCTTTTATGTGGTTTTCATCTTTTTGGTAAATACGGGGTACCAATGAAAACTAGTAATATCAATCTATGACACTCCAGTCAATTTCTAATCTAACATAATTCGTTCATAGTTTCATCAGTGAAATATTATTTTAGTTGTAATTTGAGTGAATACACGGAAATCCTAAACATTCAGTAGATAGCTGCTCAATAAGAACCGGGTCTCATTAGTCCTCCAAATATTGTTTATTTAAATGAAATATCTAATGATTAGTGTATAGTATCCCAAAAAGTCAAAACAGTTTCAAATTAATTTCTGTTTGTCAAATATGGATATTTATATGAAAATTCAACTAATTGTATCGTTCATTACTAACAACTAACTGAATTCGATTAATCACATTAGAAATATCTAGTCTGTTAAGTGTTTGATTGCAGTCCAAATTTAATAACTATAGGCAACCAATAATAAGTTTTGCTTAATGTAAGTTACTATCACAAACCTGGAGACCTGACACACATGAAATTGACCACACCCAGTGATCAATTAGGTGTAAATTCATCTCAGTCCTACAGGAGGTCAGTTGCGGCCCAGATAGCTCAGTGGTAACGTCTCTGACTGTGAAGATGAGTGATACGGGATCGAGTCTGTCAAGCAGAATCAATTCCCTCAAGAGTACAGGTACGTCTTGCTGATGAGTGCCAAATAGCACGAAACCCAGGTCAAAGGTTCCCTGATGACTAACTCCGACCACCATCTTATCTCAACATAGTGCACGCAATGTCGAGTTACCTAAACTAGTGGTCACATTGCTACTTGGTCGATAGCATTCCATCTGCACTAAGAAGGACTTGACACACATGACATTGGTCGCCACCCAGTGATCAATCAATTGTGACTACAGTCACTTTTTAATTGCTAAAATGTTGTATAATTTTAAAAATTGATCATGGTTATAGATGGGTTATTGAAATAAAAACAACAACAACATAACAATTAACAACCCAAACATACGAATTTTAATTCAGCAATTTGATATCATTTACACGTTTCAATTAAGTGTTATTCAGAATCCATAAATTTAGACGATTTTGTTAATGAGTAGATTGGTTAGTTAAAGATTCTTACAACTTGCATTTTGCAAAGTATTCATATGGTAGTGAATACAAGGGTGGTTGTAATTAATGAACGTCCAAAATTACTCTGCAACAGTATTCTCACAATATCTTCTACCTAGCCCTCTTCTCCAATTATTAAGGAGATAAAATCTAGTATAAAAGTAAGAAATATATAGTTAGAAGAAAAGTATCACACCGTTGGATGCCAGCTCAATGGTCTAGATTTTAAGCGTTTGAACGCGCGGCCGTTTGGTCCTGGGTTTGAATCCCACGATCAGGATCGTGGATGCGCGCTGCTGAGGAGTCCCACAATGGGACGAAACGGCCATTCAATGCTTCCAGGTGTTCCATGGTGGTCTAGCTTTAATCGACTCATGAATTTAACTATTAAATTTGATAGATAACCTAAAAATGAATTTTAAGCTGAATAAATGTTAAAATTGACTGAGTACATTGCAGTAAATATCGGAATATATTAGAATATCATGCTGAAAAAATTAGTTAAATGTTAAAGTGAACGATTATCATATTAAATCGATCAATACTTTTACTCTTAATCACATTTGATCATAGAGGATACTTTGTTTTAATGAGCTAACGAAATTAGCCCGGTTATTTTAAAAACTATAAAATGAAAACACCGAAACAATGAGTATTCCACTAGTTATCGATATAATCAGTTTGTGAAATGATTTAAAAGACAATAATAAACATGACACAACTAATGATATCAATGTTATGAATGTAATGCTACATATACAAATGTAATGTTTTCGAAACGTAGATTGTGAGATAAAGGAAACGCGATTTAGTTCATCAGGAACAGGAGCCAGCCATTAAATATTTTCAGAAGGGGTTTGTGGAGATTTTTTTAGAAATTTTCACAGATTGAAATCATGAGTCAGTTGAAGCTAGACCACCATTGAAAACCTGGAAGCACTGGACGGCCGTTTCGTCCTAGTATGGGACTCCTCAGCAGTGCGCATCCACGATCCCGCACCACGCGGGGCTCGAACCCAGGACCTACTGGCTTCGCGCGCGAGCACTTAACCATTAGACCATTGAGCCGGCATTAAATATTTGCCAATAGATAACTTACAAGTGTTTTAATTGACTTCTTATCCACAAAATGTTTTTAAAGGTTTAATGTTATGCATAAAACTGTGCTATTTTTACCTTAAATAAACTATTCCTGATAATTGACTGTTCTGTCTTTTGATTTTCGTTTTTTTAAAATACTGATTTCATAAATAATCATCATTCAATTAGGTTGTAGTAATTCACCGAGTTAGTTGTCAAGGCATAAATATGTATTCTATTTCTTCGTTTTATTATTATTATTATTATTATTATTATTATTATTATTATTATTATCAGTGCTAATAACTTTACTAATAAGTTAGATCTAGGATGTCTTAGCAACTAGCTTCAATTATCACTTACATAAATTACGTCATAATAATAGATACTAAATTATGACCAATTTATAAGAAATTTAATTATTCATTAAATTCAACAGTTATTTTAATTAAATCACAAATCAATGTTATTTCCATTGAAATAACACCTACAATTTCATTAGTCATCAGTACTGAAATGAAGATTGAGATTGTGAGTGATCTATGTGTTTATTTAAAAAGTAGTTCATATAGAATATACAACAGGTAAACACCTACCTTGTGCATACATACATATAGTTACATAATTACATCACCACCTCACCCCTGTGTCATTAAGACAACATACATATGGATATATTATGATCCCCCCTATTTGTAATCCCTTTTAAATATATATATATATATATATATAGTTTTTTATGTGAATTTTCAGTTGGTTAACATAATTTTTTTTTTAAAAAAAGAAAAAAAAGAAAAGTTAATTACCTGTTAGAAGAGAAAAAGAAAACTATTAGTAATAGTGATAATAGAATTCGTACTGAAGATTACTAATCAAGAAATAGATGAAACTATGAGAAAATTTATTAGATTCTTTTAGTTACTATTCTAATAATTAGTATAATTGAAGTGAATAGAGAGTATAGTGATTATTCGTTTCAATTACTGACTTTTAAATATATATATTTCTCTAAAATTTTATTGATATATTAGAAAGAAAGGAAGAAATATGTGAAACGAGAGAAGCGGGGAGGGGCAAGGGGAGGAGGAGGAGGAAGAGGAAGAGAGGGGGGAGGGAAATTGTTAAAATGTTATTTGAAAAAAAGTTGTATTAAATACTTTGTGATTATCGTTGGTTATTAATTTAAATGGCAATTAGCATAGAAAATGCTAATTATATTAGTTTAAAATTATGGTTGAAGATAAGTTTCGTTTTCTCTTTTTTTTTCTCGAAAAAACCTAATTTTTTTAGTATTTTCAACATGAAAATAAGGTAAGTGTATGTGTGCAAGTGAATATAAATAAAGATAAATATGAGACACCCCCTTTAGAAATCTATATGGATAGATAGATGAAAGAGGAAAACTTTCTAGGAATTTATACCAATTATTATTACTTAAATATTCTACATTATTTCGTGAAGATGGTATGTCGGTCTAGGGCTTGATATATAGCCAAATTTTCTATTCATTTTTCAGTGAATGATCTACAGTTCTCTTATAGTTTACCTCAATGACTTAACTTAGACAATAGCTGAAAACCTAGAAGCACTGGACAGATGTTTCGTCCAAGC